TATATATATATAAATATAAATAGATTATAGTGTGGACATCTCTTGAGTTGGGTTTTGCTCAGACAGAACTAGTTTGTAGGACATGTTACCTGATCAAGGTGAAAAGGTGTTTATAGGTGTTGTGAATGGCCACACCTGAAGGTGGAGCAAAACGCCAAACACGTCGTAAAGAGAAGGGAGACGTGATGTTTTAAAATGGGGAACATGTTACACAGTTTCTCATGGACATCAGTTGTGTACATGAAAAGTGACAAAAATGGTATCAAAAAATGACAACCCAGCTGAATTATGTGTGAAGTGGGTGTGAGTGTCTCAATATGGTGTGGGAGGAGGAGGAGGCTTCTCACAGCTATTCAACAACCCAGCTAGCAGCTGTGAAGAAGCTCCACAGCTCCAGGCTGTTGGAGTTCTGGGCCAAGTATCTTTTTAAACATACTTTTGGTTTGTGTTTCGAACAACTGATATAAATGGAAAGCAAATGACATTTGAAAGGAGAGATCTGGTTTATTATATATAAAGGACATTTGGCATAGAAATCCAGGTTTTTGTGCTACAGTAACATATATTTCAATAAGTGTTCATATTTGTTTTGCATGTGCGGGTCGAGATGATTGAGCCGGGCCTCGCTGACGGCAGCCCAATTGACGAGATGATGCAGCTGACGGCTCAGAGTCTTAATCACTTGGAGATCCAGGAACACTTCAACATCGTCAAGGAGATCGGTCGAGGGAAATATGCCAAAGTGTTGCTGGTGACACATCGTTTCAGGGGTACGACTACACTACACTTTGATTTTTAATCTGTAGATAATAACTGTTTGACTCAGTGATATTTTTTTATCATCTCAAAGTAATATAACTTCATGAAATCTGTCACATTTGCTGATGGAAAACCCATTTTCCCTCAAATAAAACAAGGATATGATGTACTTTATGGCTCCAGCATTAGCAGTAGGTTATCTGCGGTAAAAAGTAGAAAAGAAACTGTAAGTGTTAAAATACTCAATGACCATGTATTTTGGCCATTTTTAATAGCTGCTAGAAATGGAACAAATTAAGTGTTTTGCTTAATTCCAATAAAATGTTTTTATTAACTTAGTAGTCATATTGTTATACTGTTGTTTTAAAGCAAAGCAGTTACTGGTAATTTAACATAAATCCCCAAAAATTGGTGACCATTGCATTCAGCTAGAAAGATCCAGAACCTTCCAGACAAAGCATTACTTAAAAAAAGAAAAGAAAAGAAAAGAAAGGAAGCTGGGTAACTACACTCATGTGGTTATGGGAAGTTGGAACCCCAGGTGACCCAGAGAGGAAAGAGTCAAAAGGTGCAGTGACAGGGTCAAGTCAACATTTCTATTTGCCATTTAAGCATAAACAGACAGTCTAGGCATATAGGAATTCTTGTGTAGCTCTCCTTTGGAGTCAGGTAAGGAGTCAAAAGCCAGAAAGAACACTTAGTCTTAAAATAAAAAAAGTTCTATAAAGGCAACAAAGCATTAAAACTGCAATACACAAAAATAGGGTAATAGTATTTTCCTCAGTGAACTTCAGACATCGCACTTAGTGATTCACATTGTGTAATTGGATATGTCATTACGCTTGGTGAGGTAGTGAGGGGTTATAACATACTAAAACACAGTTTATATTCAGACTTGTTTCCACTGCTTGGTAGAGAATGTCCTGCTATTATTCAGGTCTCACTAGAGAACACTGTTGATGAGATGCTCTTACAACAATACCTTGTGAAACATTTCTGTATTATTATTGTGCATGTCTAGTAAGGGGTTATTGCACATATATTCTCACATTTCTCACATTTTTGTATTTGCCATCAGTCTTATTGCAGCAGGGAAAAAGCTGTTGTAAAGTCTTATTTTGTGTGTGATGATACTATTCGCCCTGCTGCACCTGAGGCTGTAGGTGCAGTTTTTGTGTCTGAGCAGGGAGTGAGCTGGGTGGCATGGGTCTCTGAGTATGTTCTCTGCCCTTTTATGACAGTGCTGTGTGTACAGTGTGTCCATAGCAGGCGGTTCAGTCCCAATTATCCTCTCTGCAGTCTTTATGACCCTTTCAAGAGCCTTCCTCTCTGCCTGTGTCAGTCAGTGTACACAAAGGAGGAAGCAGAATACAGAGCATGAGCTGGCTCCAGGCCTGGAGGTTTTGAATTTGCAAACCACAACATACAACAAATACCTAATGTCACTGAAGTGGTCATAGACATGTTTAGCGTTTTGTTTCTTTAGTAAGACAAGAAAGATGTGCATTAACAGTTCTATTAATAGCCAAAGTAAAGTATGGATGGTGTGTAGGGACTCCCATGGCCTTGAAAGTGATGCCCAAAGCCTCGACTAAGCTGCAGGGCTTTCTGCGAGAGTACTGCATCTCCTTACACCTGTCCTGCCACCCCTGCATTGTGGGCCTCTTTGGCATTGCCTTCCAATCTAATGAGCACTACTGCTTTGCCCAGGAGCTTATCATTGGGAAGGACCTGTTTGCTGTCATCCAACCAAAGGTGAGTAAAAAACTGTCAAAACAAGACTAAATGACTAAGGCTACAGCTGCACTAGCAAGTCTGTGAGGTTGTATCTAGCTACAGTGCAACCTGTATGTGACCTGGGTATTCAGTCGTTCTGTCACACAAACATTAACGGTGAAATAAAAAAAATTAAATGTTTTTTTTTTTTTTTTACCTGTTATCCTTGGTTTGCACCTTCAGAAATGTTAATTATGATTACATGGGCTTTCATTGTCATCTTTGTCTGGCACAAAGCCAACATCTAAATCTGGTTTTACCACAAACTGTACTCCACCTTTTAGAAACAAAACTACAGACATGGCGCATTTCTCTTGTTCATGGCTGTACGAGCTGTGTCCATAAATTGTGCTGCGGATCAACTCAGTTTTCTGTTTAAACTATTACTCTTAAACTTACAACTTTTAAGAATACATTTATTTCATGATGTTTGTTTCACACTAGTAAGCATTTATATATCTGTGAAGGAAAGTGTAATGCAGCCGCTGAGATGCGGCGGGAGGGTTCATTGTTTTTGCATCTATGAACATCACAACAGTTGTTAAGACATTTCACTGAAAAATAAAGCTTCAAACTCATGTTGGTGTTGGAGGAAAAATCCAGGGATTACATTAGTAGGATTCAGCCTCGGGGGGCTGTGAGTTTCAGTACAATATGTCGCAGCAGTCCAGGCTAAAATCTGACAGATCAACACTGCTACCCCTACTACAGATCTATGCTGCTACAGTGACTAAAAAACAAAGGCATGCATAGTATGATGTGAAAACCTCTGAATACAAATGCACAGACCTCACTTGCCCTTACAAATTTAGACTACAGACCGTTCCCGGGAAATATCCATGAGTGGATATAGCTGTGTAAATCCAAAATTCATGTGGATTTTCTACAGGATTCTAGAGACTTACTTGGCAAATCAGATGGGATTCTCAATTTTCTAAACTTTTGCCAATGACATAAAAGGCATAAATGTGTAAAACATGATGAGACCATGGCTCATGACTTCATAAATTCACTGTGATGACTCAGAGCATAAATCACAGGACATTTGTCCAAAGTCTGTGAGGATTCAGACTAAAATTCCAGTGGGTGCATATTTTTATTCAACCTTTCTTTCTTAATTCCAGGCTTTGTTGTGAGTGCTATATGTCCTCACATTTTGTTCTGATACCTTTGAAAAAGGACACAAAAGCTCTATCCTTCATTTTTAATTGCTCCAGGTGGGTATCCCAGAATCTTCGGTAAAACGTTGTGTCCTCCAGATCTCCAGTGCTTTGGAGTTCATCCATAGCAATGGTCTGGTCCACCGTGATGTCAAGCCTGAAAACATCCTCTTGTTGGACACACACTGCAGACAGGTCAAGCTAGCAGACTTTGGTCTGGCCCAGAAGAGAGGCACCCTGATCCGGTTCATCACAGGCACCCTGCCCTACATGGCTCCAGAGCTTTGTACTGTGGCCCTGCTGGAGGGCCAAACAGAAGTGACCGCTCCTCCACTTAGGGTGGAGCCAAGCCTGGACACCTGGGCCTTTGGGGTGGTTATCTTCTGCATCCTCACGGGCTTCTTCCCCTGGGATCGTTGCATGGATTCGGACAGCTTCTACCAGGAGTTTGCTGAGTGGTGCACGATGAAGGAGCGACCTGACACAGAGGAGGACATTCCTCCTCTGTGGAAAAAGTTCACCCCAGAAGCCATGGAGATGTTCGCTAAGCTCCTGGCTATGGATGCTGAGAAGAGGTGTTCAGTGGGGGAGGTGGGAGCATATGTGGAGAAGGATTGGCTTAAGAAAGAGCATGTGAACGAGCAGCAGCAGACAGCAGAAAAAGAAAAAGCCAGTGCCTCCAGGAATAACCCTGGGCACAGTGGAGAAACAGCCTAATACTTAGTGCATACACACTGCATTCATGTGTATAATCCACAGCTTTTTTACACTATAACAGCATCTAAAAATATATGTCAGTAACCTTAAAGTGCCTCCTATCAGGCATGTGATTTGCAGTGATTAAACATAAGGTGTTTACATCTACTTTATTCTGAAACCTGTTTTAGTTTCCATATAAAATCCATTTAACAGAGACATCCTTGTAGCTGAATGGTTAGGACATAATTGCAGCATCCCTGACTCAAGTCTAGCTGTTGCCTTCTGCTGCATGTCCCACTGGATTTCAGTTTCAGCTCCTGCTCCCATCAGTACATCAAAATATACAGCAGTGTGAAATGACAAAAGTTTCAACCATTCAGGGTGGGAACCTATCACATTTTGCATTGTGTGATTTTAAAGCTACAGTGGGTGTGATGATATTTTTTAGTAAAACATGAGCTTCTTTTGCTAGTGTAGTTGATTATATTACTGTGTAATAAAGCACTCGAAGCAAGCCCACTGTCTTCTTTCAAGTCTCCTTTAAAATCAACTTGTTTTAGATGTGTTTATGCACTGATTTTATGTTTTACTATTTATCATTTTATTATATATTTTTTAATTCACTGTCCTTTATTTGTTCATATAGCTTTATGCAAAACACCTTGTATTTTGTTTTGAACAGGGCTATATAAATAAAACTATTATTAACATGATTAAACCTGGGGTGTTGGTGTTCTATCAAGCAGTCACATAGAGCTTTATGTAAAACTAATGCAGTCCTTTCTGGGGTTTTCTGTTGCTGTACAAACTGGTTTAGTCTGAGGTTTTAAATACATAGGATGTATTGCTTGCTGTCACTTCTCAAAGGGCCTTATTTTGCAACTGAAATGCATCTTACGCTTTGAGATTTAATATAGATGCAGGACGCATGTTTATTAATGAAATACTAGCCAACATTTGTAAAGTTTAATGAAATCTTTCACCTCTATGAATTATTTATTGCTTTATTGTTTTTTTTTTCATTGCTCTAATGCCATATGCATTAATATAACCATCTTCTCCAGAGTTTTTCAGTTTGCTCTGTTCATTCAGGTTCCTGGGCAGATATTGTATGTCCCTTTGTGAAGCCATGACTTAGGTCAGCTCTCCGTGTCTCTCCAGTATCACTCAGTTTCTCTCCCCTCTCTCACCGACATCTCTGATCCTCTTCAGCCTCTTTATGTTAAGTAATCTCTTGGCAACCTGATGCAGCTGGTTCTCCACTAATGGATGTCCTGTTTTTGTTGGGGTGTACTGGTGCCACAGGTGCCTTAGGGACACAGCATGTCAGCCTCAGAGTAGGGCAGATCCTGACTTGGCCCTGGGCCTGAATCTCTTTGGCCCCCTTCATGCTTTACAGCATATTTAGGCTGCACTAGCCAGGCTCATCTTTCAGCTGACCCCTAGGCCCAACTGCACATTCAGGTCTGTCATGCAGACACTAATCCAGCTGAGGTAAATCAACTGCAAAGTCCATGTTGGCAGGTGACTCACCAGCTATCCTCGCCGGCATTCACAGACCCAGGTTTTAAAAAGATTAAAAATCATGTTTTGCATGGCACTAACGCTAATATATTAATCTTGTGGACTAAAATACAAAGATACAAGAGTTAGGAGAGCTTGTGCTTTCCTAATATCTTTAACAGTACATAATAAACAGATAAGTATAACTTCCAGGAAACTACAGACACACGAGAAACATGAGTGTTATCAAGATTTCCTTTGCCTGCCACATAAAGATAGTTTCGTGCTGTTATGAAAGACACTGTGGTTGTGTACTTTCCCCTTTGACTAATCTACATGGCTGTCATGTTTCTGATACTGGAGCACTTGAACGCCATTTTAGTAAATCATCATGTACTGTGAGAGAGACATGTCCATCTGGCTGGGGCCTTTCTGGTGCCAGCACTAGTTCTTGCACCCCACGGGGCACTTTTGCAGTCACCAGGAAAGCTAGTGGAGTAACCCTGCCTTTTTGAATGTGTAGAAATAATAGTAGAAATATACAATGTGCTTGAAAGTACGTTTTCAAAAATAATCCTATAATTCATTTAACTTCATACAAAGTGCAGTAAAGAGAAACTATGTCCCACTGGTCTCCCCCCGTCCCTCCCTCTCTCTCTCCTTGTTTTCTGTCTGTCTCAGCAACATTAGCTTTCCCATAAGGGCAAATGGATGGAATATAAACAGACTCCACAGATCATCGATTAGATCTGAAATGACAGAAGAAGTCAAACGTTAAGTGGCGCTACATTTTTATCAAATAGGTATTTTTTTAAAATGTATGAGCCATGATGTTTTAATTTGCCCCTGCTTCTTCATTTTGTGTTTTATAGTGGTTTCTCAGCATAAGGTTTTGATAAAGCCTATGCAGCTGGATTTCAGTTTCAGCTCCTGCTCCCATCAGTACATCAAAATATACAGCACTCGAAGCAAGCCCACTGTCTTCTTTCAAGTCTCCTTTAAAATCAAATAGTTTTAGATGTGTTTATGCACTGATTTTATGTTTTACTATTTATCATTTTATTATATATTTTTTAATTCACTGTCCTTTATTTGTTCATATAGCTTTATGCAAAACACCTTGTATTTTGTTTTGAACAGGGCTATATAAATAAAACTATTATTAACATGATTAAACCTGGGGTGTTGGTGTTCTATCAAGCAGTCACATAGAGCTTTATGTAAAACTAATGCAGTCCTTTCTGGGGTTTTCTGTTGCTGTACAAACTGGTTTAGTCTGAGGTTTTAAATACATAGGATGTATTGCTTGCTGTCACTTCTCAAAGGGCCTTATTTTGCAACTGAAATGCATCTTACGCTTTGAGATTTAATATAGATGCAGGACGCATGTTTATTAATGAAATACTAGCCAACATTTGTAAAGTTTAATGAAATCTTTCACCTCTATGAATTATTTATTGCTTTATTGTTTTTTTTTTCATTGCTCTAATGCCATATGCATTAATATAACCATCGTCTCCAGAGTTTTTCAGTTTGCTCTGTTTCTCACCGACATCTCTGATCCTCTTCAGCCTCTTTATGTTAAGTAATCTCTTGGCAACCTGATGCAGCTGGTTCTCCACTAATGGATGTCCTGTTTTTGTTGGGGTGTACTGGTGCCACAGGTGCCTTAGGGACACAGCATGTCAGCCTCAGAGTAGGGCAGATCCTGACTTGGCCCTGGGCCTGAATCTCTTTGGCCCCCTTCATGCTTTACAGCATATTTAGGCTGCACTAGCCAGGCTCATCTTTCAGCTGACCCCTAGGCCCAACTGCACATTCAGGTCTGTCATGCAGACACTAATCCAGCTGAGGTAAATCAACTGCAAAGTCCATGTTGGCAGGTGACTCACCAGCTATCCTCGCCGGCATTCACAGACCCAGGTTTTAAAAAGATTAAAAATCATGTTTTGCATGGCACTAACGCTAATATATTAATCTTGTGGACTAAAATACAAAGATACAAGAGTTAGGAGAGCTTGTGCTTTCCTAATATCTTTAACAGTACATAATAAACAGATAAGTATAACTTCCAGGAAACTACAGACACACGAGAAACATGAGTGTTATCAAGATTTCCTTTGCCTGCCACATAAAGATAGTTTCGTGCTGTTATGAAAGACACTGTGGTTGTGTACTTTCCCCTTTGACTAATCTACATGGCTGTCATGTTTCTGATACTGGAGCACTTGAACGCCATTTTAGTAAATCATCATGTACTGTGAGAGAGACATGTCCATCTGGCTGGGGCCTTTCTGGTGCCAGCACTAGTTCTTGCACCCCACGGGGCACTTTTGCAGTCACCAGGAAAGCTAGTGGAGTAACCCTGCCTTTTTGAATGTGTAGAAATAATAGTAGAAATATACAATGTGCTTGAAAGTACGTTTTCAAAAATAATCCTATAATTCATTTAACTTCATACAAAGTGCAGTAAAGAGAAACAGTGGAGAATCAACAGCACCGGTTCTCCTCAGCACACTGGTGCACAGTTTCTCAGGGTACTTTGTAAGTAGGTTGTTCTAGCATCTTGCAGAACATGTTCTTCTGTGGATTTAGGTTGTGCCAGGGTCGTCATACAGTATAATCCCAGACTGACTCAGTGGAATGAGAACTGGGTTTTGTGGGGGCCAGAGCATTTGTTGCAGGCCTCCTTAATCTACCGGTACTTGTACCATACACACATGGGCACTATTAATAATACCTCTCTGTTATGGAAAATCACCACAGCTGAGACCTTTCTCTCTGCTAATGTGTTAATGCCATAATCAGCCAAGATTAGGTGCTTAAAGAATCTTTTATCAGCGTTGTTCTGTGCTTGTGATAATTAGTGTTGTGAGTGCCACAGAGGAGACAGATCAGAGAAACATCAAGTTACAAACATTGGCTCAAAGGTCACAGAGTAGTGTGAGATGGTGAGTCAAACTAAAACTGAAATGCACACTGGATGAAGGTGTGTCAAAGATCCTCTATTATGTAACATAACATATCCCGCTTTACTTTTATCCCCTTGTTAATCTGTCTCAAAAGGTGGCACTGAGTTTATTTATAATCAATACGTCATTTTCCAACCTGTTGACTATAAACAACATCATCTTAAAGAGTGGTATATGATGTGAGTTCTCGCTCATAGTGCCACCTCTTTTCCTGACCTTGTTCTAGAGAATATAGAAGGCACCTTCTGTTAAAGGCAGAGCACGCATTTGTTTTCTGGGTGTGGGAGGAACACACCTGTTCCATCTAATGAACAAATTTGTCTTATAGTATAGTTCATTATTTTAATTCTGCTAATTAAAATATTGTGGTACACATTTCCACTTCATAATATTTACATCTACACTATAAACTAGCCTCATATTTTCTGGTGCTGTCTACAGGCCTCCCAACATATAATTTTTACATTAGCATCCAAGCAGCAGCATCTGTATAACTCATTTAAAGTGTGGGAAATTATTTTTGAAGTCTCTCTGAGGGAACAGGATCCCAGTTACATTTACAACATTTTTCAGACTGATTTGTATGATCTCTCTCTTAAGTCTCAGTTATAGTAGGTGCCTCCAAACAGCCAATCAGTCCTTATTTATAACTGCAGTACCCTGCAACAAATGTCTTTACCTGCTGCCATTACATACAGTATGTCAAGTTTGTGCAAGCATCTGTCTACAGCCATGCTTGTGTCTCTATGAGGCTCCACTTGCTGATGTTCAGCAAGCATAATGTTTACTGAGTTATCAGTCTTACTTCAGAATGTTAGCATGCTAATATTTTCTAACTTACACTAAACTCAAAATGCAGATGAAGCTGAAAAGTTTTGCAAACCAATTTACTGTACAAATTGACCTGTACAAATGTTATTGTTTAAATAGTTGTTTCTGGCTGGAGCAGATTGGTGAACTTGCTGACTGGCCAGCATTCATTGCCCAGAGGGCAGATCTGACCTACAGTAGTCGGGATTTTTAAAGCATCCATAATAATGGCAGTACAAACAAAATAAATAAAAAATGAAAATAACACCGTATGCGAACCTCTTTGTTTTAATGCACTAACTTTACTTAACCAACAGACACAAACATTCACACATTGATTTGCTTCATGTTTTGACTACTGCTATGGCCAGCTGCAAAGCTGGTAACAGAGACGTCTCGGTTGACGTTTCTGTGTAGTATGGGGCTAGCCCAACCGAGGTGATATAATGTATAGGCCTGGTGGGTTCAGGGTCTTTCATCTTACATCTGCCTGCGAGCAGTTTGGAGGAGCAAGATACCTGAGCGTGTAATGTTAATTTTACCTGTGATCCTTTGAATAAATCAGCACTGTTTTGAAGTTACTTGGACTGTCTCGTCTCTCAGAGTTAGCAATGGTAATAAAAACCATATCCTGCAACTACTAGGGGAAATGTTGAAGAGATTACAGGGATGTTAAAGTGCATGGACACAAAACAATATTTACAGTTATACTATATGTTTTCAGCAGAGACGAAGTGTTTGAATTCCCCCCCAGTCAACTGAGTCACTGTACAAACGATGCCTTGTGAAGAAAACGGCTTGTTGTGCTGTGTATCAAACTATATACATGACATATATAACATACAGTTTGATACTCAACATCTGAGCCATTTCCAAAGCCTGGGCGTCTCAGAGGCATCAGTAGGTGCAAGGGTCTGAACGCAGAGCAGACAGGTAGTTTTGGGAAAGAATTTAATGTTGCTGTTAACATTCCTTATATATATTCCTTTAAAACAATGTAATGTGACATTGAAAACTCAATGTTATGGATTAAATGCTAAACATGTGAATTTTAAAATCTTCTACAGTGAAGCATTGTTCATTGTTCATAGCTCCAAGGCCAGAAGACACTGTAACTGTAGCAAGAAACACAAGTAAAAAATAAAAACTAGCTAAAAATACATAGTACAACACAAAAAGGAGATGATGTAATTTTAGTAACTTTAGTAAATGTAAATAGAGTTTGCTAATACTTCCACTATGATTACAGTTTCAGTTTTCTTTGGATCACAATGTCTCAAAAAGACACTGAGAACACAACAAGTGACAGCTGCAACTACTGGATGTATTGTGTTCACGTTTATAGCGATAGCTCAGTTTTTTTGGGAAATATGCAAATTTTCCTGCTAAAAGTTTGATGAGAAGGTACCATAAATATGAATACAGAGTTTCAGACATTTATGTTAGCTTAGCATAAAGACTGGAAACAGGTGGAGACAGCTAGCCTGCCTCTGTCCAAATAGAAAATCTGTCAACCAGCATCTTCAGCGCTTACTAGTTAACAGCTAAGCTTTGTTTAGTCTGAAGAAAAACAAAGCTTAGAAACTACTAGTCGAGACATAGCCTGGTACGTAACCATAACTTGTTGGTTTAAAAATATGTATGTATACATTTAAATGGGATATAATGCATTAATATGTGACCTTTTTGATATGTGCATAGCAGGATTGTGTTGCCTTTGGACAGAACCAGTCTTTATGTTGGATGTAGTTACATATTTACTTTACGGACTCTAACTCTACTGGCAAATATTCCTTTAAAACAATGTAATGTGACATTGAAAACTCAATGTTATGGATTCTTATGAAGCCTGTACATTTAAAAAATACAAAATAACCTGAGTTTACTGTATCAGCTGAGTTAGCACGAGCAATACTCTGCACATTATGGAGTTAATTCTAAATAGTTTCTCATGAAATATTGTAGAAATCATAGACGCTTAATTACTGTATATACATGCATTTTAAAAATAAAAAAGTACGTCCAATTTTTTTGCCATTCATAAAACATTCTGAGCACATTTCATAAAAACCATAAAATCAACAAGAAAAAGATGTAAACAAGGGAAAGATGTAAATAACTGAAATTCTTACATGTAACAACTGTACATTTGAACAGAAAGAAAACTGTTTTTATTTGCCTCACCTGTGTTTTGATGGCTGGCCGACACACTTGACATGACTATACACAGTTTACTCTGTTCATAAACCAATCTTGTCTGATTTAAAGTTATCAGTATTTCAGATTATAATAATAATTGAACCTGTTTAATCTGGGAAATTTTTTTACACTCAATTTTTGCATTATTTGTACATTTATTTTATCCACTGCAACAAATATCTGCTGCATAAAAAGTCTGGTGGTAATTTAGATATTCTGATATATAAGTTTTTTCCATTTGTGCTTGAGTAAAATGGAGCTTGGTTTTCAAGTGTTCCACTTTGCCAGATTGGATTTTATTTCAGTTTGGGCTCACCCATCTTGGCCCGGCACTAGGTAGTCTTCATCCACCTGCACCAGTTCTGAAGATACCGCTGCATCACTTTCAGGTGTGGTTCTGGAGCAGTGATGGACTTCAGCTATCGTCTGCATGACTTCAGGGCTGTCTTCAATGTCGTCGTAGCTGTCTTGTGGGTCATCCACCTCATAGGTAATCTCGTCTGTTCATAAGAAAAATGCTTGGATTTAGTTTGTCACTGAGAATGTGTCTAGTTTTGGTATTTCGGTGTGAAACTGATGTGTGGTTGAAAGCTCTCCGGTGCATTGACCAGGGGTACATGCATGGACGGAACTGTCACCTGAGGCGTTAGCTGTGGCGGCCTGAGAGGTCAGGGCCTGCGCCTCAGTAGCTTCATCAATATCATCATAAGAAAAAGAGGAAGTGCTGTGTGCTTTGTTTTCTTTGGTGACTTCGGCCTCTGATCTGAATCCTGAATGAACAAAGGTAACAATGCACATTGACAAATACCTTCATTTTGTCCCGTTTCACTGCAGCTGTGAAAGACATTTTCACCTTATTCCAGGTGTTAGTTTTACTTTGAAATCAAGTTTGAACATTAAAACAACGAGACTTTATTGATCCCAGAGGGGAAATTCGCACATTACAGCAGTGTGGACACAAGCTGATAGGCAGGAGAACAAATAAAGGTTTGAATGAAATAAATACAAAATGAATAAATGACGGATTCAAGATTAATACAATATGTTTGACTATATAAATGAATTGTCCATATAGTTGTGTCAGTCATAAAGATGTGTTGCAACTGCCATGAAGTTTCAGCTATATATAGTGTTAATATATAGGTTCTGCTTTATATGTAATATACACACTCTGTACAGAAATAATACAATACTATAAAGTGTATATACTGTATAATGAAAATGAAAGAGAATACTATAATGTACTGTATAAAATAAAAGCATAATAACAGCAATATAGTGAATTGACACTAACACAATATTTTTAAGAAAATTGTTAGATGCATTTCTTCTTCTCCTCATCACTGCTCCCTTAGTAATAATAAAAATAGTGATATATAAAAAAATTCAGGACGAAGTCAAGCTCTTGAATAAGGTTCAATTTTCTTATATTGTTTAGAAAATTACAAAAAGAAAGTAAATATATGAAGATGTTGTGAGACTCACTGCCACCACTGAAGTCTTCCATCTCATCGGGTTTGCTCTCTATGTCCTCGTAGTTGCCACTTTCAACCTCTACATCATTTCTTGACAGCGTTTTCACTACATTCAAATAGCATTAAACATTTACTGGTACGTGACAAACAACAATCTCTTATTAATGCTGTAAGGGCAGCACAAGAGATGGAAAATCAGTTACAGCACATACTACTGTACAAATTTGACTAAAACACTTTTGGCCCAATTCTGTACTTGCATCTGTTTTCAGGGGAGTGCACACGACTGACGTAATGCTATTTAAACCTAAATCTTTGAGGTCCTAGAAGATAAACTATAGCATTAGTCATACCATTCTTTTAAATACAGTACACTATATAACAGTCAGGATGTAGTGAGCATGCAGAAAGACTGGCCTTTTGTGGCAGGTGACTCCAGGAGATTTTATTACACTGGGATGACCAGGATCATTAAACAGACTGATAATGTTTTCAGTCTATTGGAAACCATTTGAAACAACCTATTGATCAGTATTAAATTGTAACTCAAGCAATAACAACTAGCAGAAGCTGGCTTTAATAGAAGAATATACTCACGTGGGACTTTCATGGCGTTCTTTGCTCTCTTGACATTGCAGATTCGTACACATACAATAATGATTATCACCAGAACCAAAAGAAATCCTGCTCCCAGGATAATAGGCACTATGGGGGTCCCAGTGGCGGGTTGTTTCCACTCAAACCCTGAAATAAAACACAACCATACTGCCTGTTTTGCCTTCACTCACAGACTGGGGCTGGCACTTGATTGAAGAGATGATTGGTTTTATACAAAAGTCTGACTCCTATATGCCAAACAGCTGAATGAATAGTTAAGGAATGAGCCTGCCTCAAAGGAACTGCTAAAGCTTTAATTACCATGACAGTAGATCTCAGCTGGTCGGACTTTGTTACAGCTCTCTCGGCGGACACAGTGCTTGATGTCCTTGTGATTTTCGGTGCATTTCAGTGCTGTTTTCAAGTTGGCCTGGAATGAAATTTAAACTTGTCTTTACAGTGATGCCTATTCATGCACGTGTGTTTGTCTGATGGCTGAAGCTGAGGGCTGAATGACCACATACTGCACAGTGAAACAAAAAGACAAGTGTGACCTTGCAACAAACAAAAAGTAAAAGATGTAAGATGAAGATTTACCACATCCTTGCTTTTAGGTATCTTTATACTCTTATTGTAACCACCACAGCCAAGCTCCTGACACAGCTTGTCCTTAAACACGTCGGAAAGTGTCAGAGGACACACGCTTTCCCATTGATTTCCATACTTGACTGTGAGCTGACCTCCACATTTTTCTGTGGTGTTGAACTTGACACTACCTGTTAAACACACACACACACACACACACACACACACACACACACACACACATTCATATCTGTTTGCTGAGTATGAGACAGAAGCCAAGAGACAGAGAGCAGGGGGGAAGCAACAACGGTAGCATGTCCAAAACCAAGAAATGAAAATTACAGTTTGGTTTTAAATTTTGTATTTAGCATGTAATAAACAAACAAAATCATATGAGATGTTCATTTGTGAACTATAGAGGAACTGGTAGGAATACATTTTTAACTTAGGACGAAGCCTCCTAGGCTTGTTGTTGCTTCCTGTCTTCATGCTAATATACAGTAGGCTAACCATCTCCTGGCTAAAGGTCACAAGAGTTGTATCAATTTTTAATCTGACCCACTGCTAGAAATGACAAAAAGTGTATATTCCTGTTTTTTTATCTCAAATTAAATAACAGAATCCACTATTTAACTGCTAGCAGTAAAAACCCTAGAAGTGTCATTTGAGTTTTTGTTGCTGTTTTTTTTTTTTTGGTTTGTTTTGTTTTTAGAAATGCACGCCAACATGCATATCACCAAACTGAGCGCACCCAGGAAAGGAGACATATTTCACATTTAATAGAAGTAAATTATTCTTCTGTTAAAATGTAATGAATAAGAATAACTGGCTGCAAGTGGATATTAACCATGAAATGTTAAAACTCAGTGAAAAACTGTGCTTTTGTGTTAGAGAAGATGTTACCCCCTCTTGTCACTCTGATTCATTAATACAAGTGAAAACTGATGTGGGAAAACAAGGTGTTAGCACCCTGGCAACTGAATTTGACTCAATTTTTGACAGTTTTCCCCATTTAAAATGATATAATAGCATTAGTCCAGGCAGGATATCAGGAGGATTAGATACTGTAAATAGGAAGCATTTACTGTGCATACACACACTTACCAACACAGGAAATAGACAGCACTTTTGCAGTACATGGTCCTTTGCTTCTCCTGCACTGGCCAAGTTCATAATGGTAGTCCTCACAGCTGACATGTTGGTACATGGCATTTGGCTTAGGATCAGTGAAGAAGTCATCAATAGCATTGCTACAATTCATTTCTTGGCAAGCCATGGGTGAATATGTCCAGTCAGTGCTGCACACTTCAGTTTCATTTATCCTCAATACACCATGACATTCCTCTGACAGGGTGACCTTAGGCGTACCTAGGCAGCAAAATACATAAATAAAATTAATTATTTAATCCAAATAATAAAGGAGAAATGAATCAGATTTTTTTTATTATCTATGACCCCAAAGACTAAACAGTTACATTAAAACCTGTAGTGATTGTGAGTATACAAAAAATCAACAGCTAATAAAATTGAACTAACTCATTAACAGAGACAAAGGAGTGCCACAGTGTATGGAACCTAGAGTTTATTGATTCATTAACCCACACTAGCAAAGTTAACTTAACACTGACTCTTTCGCTTTATATCACAGTACAGAAAGGCTTGAGGAGCAAACGTGCATGAAAAAATCTGAATGAACTACATTCATGATATGCTGCTCTGGTCTTGTTTGAAAGACGTATATAATGTTTTTATGCCACCTAAGAAATCCCAATGAGCTAATGAACTAATGCAATGAACACAACTTCTCCAGCAGCTGCTAAATTCAGCTTATTAATAAAAAAAAAAACAGTGCAATTAACAAATATTTTAAGGTGAAATTAAGCAAGAGTGTCATGATTAAATGCAGTAAAGTCAACAGGTACAGTGAGGAACAGAAGTATTTGAACACCCTGCGATTTTGCAAGTTCTCCCACTTAGAAATCATGGAGGGGTCTGAAATTCACATTGTAGGTGCATTCCCACTCTGAGAGACAGAATTAAAAAAAAAAAATTCAGGAAATCACATTGTATGATTTTTAAAGAATTTATTTGTCTTGCACTGCTGAACATAAGTATTTGAACACCTGAGAAAATCAGTGTTAATATTTGGTACAGAAACCTTTGTTTGCAATTACAGAGGTCAAACGTTTCCTGTAGTTCTTGACCAGGTTTGCACACACTGCAACAGGGATTTTGGCCCACTCCTCCACACAGATCTCCTCTAGATCTGTCAGGTTTCGGGGCTGTCGCTGAGCAACGCAGAGTTTAAGCTCCCTCCAAAGATGTTCTATTGGACTGAGGTCTGGAGA